CACTGCGACAGTCGCTTACGTGGCATATACATGGCAAGTAGTTATTTGATACATTAATGTGGTGATTTTTTACCACATTAATGCATCAAACACACACTTGACATGTGTGTGTATAGGGCGACTACCGCAGTGTGCGACTGCAAATAGTATTATTCTAGCAGAATTAGCTTGGCTCTTATTTTTGGATGAAGCCTAAACTGACTAAAGCTTTTAATATCCATAAACTATGAAAATGAGCGCCTAAACTGACTGAAGCTTTTAATGTCCATAAACTATGTTTTTAAATTGGATCTAACGAATTTTTTTTTTTTTTTATATAACTGTGGATGTTCGGGTCAGTTTGTGCGCACCTCCACTAATTCCACGGGGCTCGAATTTTACGACCGAATACTCACCCCAGTGGATCTGAGGGGACTCGAACTGGTGACCAATGGCGAGCAAACCCAATGTCTAACCAATTGAGCAACCCCTCAAGGCTATGTATCTAACGAAAATTTATATCAATCAGGCACCAAATGTTATTGAATTCCATCACCACCAATTTGAAATTATATTGTACTCCAACAAATGTTTCTACTGAGAATTTGTGTCGCAGTTACTATTACAAAATTTGCTATCCAAAAAATAAAAATAAAAATAAAAAATCCTCGTATGTAAATATCTGCACCATCCCTAGAATAAGTGTAGATGTTCTTCATCTGTAGTAAGACGCCAGAACTTACAAAAAGAGTGTTGTGGATGCAATTATAAGTAGTTCCTGCAATAAGCATAAATCAATCCAGATCAACCTCTGGAGTCCAATGCAGGCACATGGATGCACTGAACTTCTGGGCCCAATTTGAAGTCCCCCCCTCCTTTTTTTTAATTTTATTTTTAAAACGAGTGCCCACAACCAATAAGTGAAGCCCATTAGCCCAATATCATTGACATTCAACCCAGTACTATGCCCCTGTTTGTTTACCATTATTCCAAAAAATTATTTGTTACAGTAAAATTTTTTAGCACACATTCACCCAATAAAATATTCTACACACAAATTAATAAAGTTACTTTAAATTTCAATCACACATTCTCTAAAAAATACTATTCATTATTATATTTTTCTCCCAGAGTGGGAGACAAACAAAACCTATATTACCATTAGATAGGTTCATCATACCCTTACCAAATTACAACCATTTTTCCACTTCGCCTCCGGCCTTTCGCCTCCGCCTTCTTCCAGTCCCGGCTCCACTCAGTCCTCCTGCCGCCTCCTCCGCCATTCAATTTTGGTTGATGCTCTCTGCTCATCGAAGTTCGGACAATCCCTGTTGCAGGCCGCAGCTCACCTACTTCGTCGGCCGCCATCGATTCTTCGACGGCAGCAGAAAAATAAGGTGAAGCCCCGAACCCCAAGCATATACTCGTTTTTCATTTTTGTTATTTTGATTTGTGTATAGTGTTTCCAACAATGGTTTAATTTCAGCATTTTGTTTTGATCTTTTTCTATTGTTGGGTTATTCTCTCTTTTTCCAAAGTTAAGCTTTTTCTAGATATATGGTGGTAGTACTACTTGACTGCAGTTCAATTTTTGTTCTCGATTCTGGAATTTGGAGAGATGTATGCAGATGTCTATCTGCTTTATCTATTGGTGGTTAGAAGAATATTTCAATAATCAACCGACTAAAGTATATACTACGAGCTTCAAGTTTTTGCTTATCTTAAGTCAAACAACTGAAGTGTGTCTGCTTTATCATTTTGGTAGTAATATACTCAAAAGGGGATGCAGGATGTAACTTAATTTTTTGTTCATCTCTGTTGGCAAAAAAAGTTTGGATTTTTGTTATTTTATTGCTTCCTCACTTACCCCTTCATTTTAGATTTATTTTTTCAGACGGAAAAAGCACGGCTTATTTCTTCTCCATTGTAGTCACCACTTAGTGTCCTTTGTGGGTACTAAAGAGAGAGCAACCGAAGAGGGCATAAAGAGGCAACCAATTTGCAGAGGGTTGTTGGGTCGAGCCTTTTGGTAGATTGGTGTTCGTTTGGTTGTTTTCTGAGCCCAGAAATTGGTTGTTTGGACTCCAAAATCTTACAGGATCTTCCTTGTCTTGTTGAAGATTTTGGATCGTGGGTTTGTTTTGGATTCATGGAAGATGGTTGCATTTTGTTTAGATTTTGGCTTGAGCTTATTTTCTGATGATGTTTGTGTTGTACTTGTCAAAAAATAGGAATGGGAAAGAAACCTTATGTTCAAAATCTTGAAATGATGTTGGTTTTGTTAATGGATGGACATTGTATTGGACCAATTGATGAACTATTCGGTATTGAGTTCTTGGAAGTTGTATAGGTGCCTGAGAGTGCTGCAAGTAGTTTTATTAAGTAATTAGAGTCTTGTTTCGCAATACGCACTAATATAGGAGTACGCGATAGTAGTAATTCGATGAATAAGAAGTTAATCTGTTTAGTACCGAAGGATCTGGATTTGTTATGTATGTGACTTTGGTATTTGCTGTACTTGCTGTTGTAGAAGAATTAAGGCATTTCAATTTCAGCTTGCTCGTCAAATTATAAAAATAAATTTAAAAGTTTTCTTTTTAAATTGATTCTAGTGCTAATTTATCTAGACACTTTACTACTTAAAGCAAAACAAATAAATGCTTTAAGGTTGGATTCTGTCGATAGCTTATTCAAGAAAGTTTTTTTATATTTTTTATTTCAATCATGCTACAAGTACATTGTTTTTGACATCAAGTTTGACATTGTGCCACATGTTGCAACACGATTGACCAGTTTGAAAATACAACATACTTTTCGCCACTTCATTTTTGAATTTGCAAAAGAGTGTCAAACTCCATGTACACAAGGAGTGTACAAGGAGCATAATTCTTTGGACAATGCTAGGAGTACATAAAGATCTACATAAGGGTCTACATAATACATATATGGCATGTGATCTCACCTTTAATTCAAATATGACACTTACACATCAACCACCGGATGATTGCCACATCTGCATTAT